CCCATGCTAGTACCCTTATTTGGAGATCTATCATGAGCGAGGGGTCGGGCAGCTGATAAACCGTTTAGGCTGACGGTGGTAGAAGCCCAACATTTACGACCTACAAACCGATCACTGTAGCAGGAGAGGATTTTGCGATATCTTTCAACATCCTGCCATCTTAGAAATCCTTTGACCTGACCAATTCGTCTATGAGTCTATCTATGGAAGAGAGAGACTTAACGACCCTCTCCCCTTTTGTATCGAGGTATCCCCGCTTTTTTGTAGCAGCAACTGAAGAAGGATCATGAAAACCACTCATTCCAACTCCTTTTCGCTTACCTCGACCAAAATAATCGGTTGGCCCTTGGTGTTTGAGCCCAGACTAATCTCCAAAGCCTTTTTGCTAGGCCTTCTCAACAATTGGCCTTCAATGTTAGTCTCAAACCTTGCCCGTTTTTCCTTCGTCAACATTTTCCTTTTTTGAGGAATATGAGATCTGCAACCTTGTCTTTGCCATCCTTTGAGGGTCTACAACGAACCGTTAGCCAAAATGATCTTCAATTATAAAAAGAAAAAGAATCGACAAATGATATAAGACTCAATTCATATACCCATTTATAAAGCACATGGTCACGTAATCCTAATTGAAGTTAAATGTTCAATTAATTCATGAATTTAATGCTAACAATTATTTAATAAACTTCCCTGTCCTTATTATAGCTATGGCTATTAAGGAGCAAAAAAACTCGGGGAACTAATATGTATATACCAGAAATACCAGCATGAATCTCAAAGCTATATACATTCCAAATAATGGCCGAACAATCAAAGCATCTGACTAATCAACAAATAATTCCAAGGTTAGGATAAGCTAACACACTATGACAATGGGTTCAACAAGTGGATCATTACTATAGTCCCGACTGATCGAAGTGTGTAGAGACCGTAGTTGGATGACTCACCCGTGGCAAGCAAGATCGTAATACGATCGAGCATCTTGACCTACCGGCACGCACTTTGAAAGACATAATCTCCACTCGGTCGGTCACCTTAATCAGCCCAATTCAGACAAATCAGTCTAGCTAATTATCGTCATGTTAAAAATTAAAATTATAATACAAATATTGTATATAATCCGTATACTTTATTAGAGTATTAATCATATTAAGAATAAGTTTCATAGTTGTT